TGAATGATACCAGGTTCCCTCTTTGAAACCTGGACAAACACTTGAGCATTGTTTCCACTCTGTCCTCCGTTAGGCTCACTCTGGCATGGATTGAGTCCAGAGAGAGACCTATGAAAGCTATTCTCTGAGAGGGAAACAGGGAACTCTTTTCCAGGTTTATTTTGAAACCCAGATCCATCAGGTGCTCTTTTATCATAGCTGTGTGAAGTGAGGCTTCCTGGTGGGAGGACGAGGCGATCAGCCAATCGTCTATATACGTTGCCACACGTATTCCCCGCCTCCTGAGCGGACCCACCGCTGCCTCTGTGCATTTCACAAACACCCTCGGGCTCAGAGAGAGTCCGAAAGGGAGGACAAGGTATTCGTAACAGTTCCCGTGAAAAGAGAATCTGAGGTATTTTCTGTGTGGGGGGTAAATTGGGATGTGAAAATAAGCATCCTTGAGGTCGATTGATGTAAACCAATCGCCTGGACGCAGGAAGCGCAGCAGGGACGCGTTTGTCAGCATCTTGAATCTGTATTTTCTTAGATGCCTGTTCAGCGCTCTGAGGTCTAGAATTGCACGCATTCCTCGGCCGCCTTTCTTTGGCACAAGGAAATAACGTGAATAAAAACCCTCGCTGCTGTGCTCTGGTTGAATCAGCCGTATCGCTTTCTTTTCCAGCAAAGAGGAAATCTCTTCCTTTAGGAAGAGAGCGGCTTGTCCCTCCGCGTGTGACTGGATTATTCCTCTGAAGCTTGGAGGAACTGCAGTGAACTGCAGTCTGTATCCCCTCCTGAGCGTTCTTAACACCCACTCTGAGTCTGTGCATTTTTCCCAAAGGTGGATGTTCACTGTCAGCTGGCTGACTGGCCAGTCTGACAGCGAGCTGCGAGCGCCCTGGGGTGGAGGGACGTAAACAGCTCCGTGCTGCATTGCGCATGCGCGTAGCGTCTGGTGCGCTACAGAGCTGCTCATGTTGGGGAGAGGTCTCACTTCTTTTGAAAAAGAAGGTACCGGCTCCCCGAGTGAAATGTTTATGTTTTTCAACATTTTTGACTGCGCCCTTGGTTCTCGACCTGGATGCGTCAGTCTGGAAGCATTTATTACAGTTGAACACAAAGAAGTGCTTGTGAAACATGTTCGGGGTTCGCTCTGGATATCCCAGCATTGAACAGAGTCTTTCGACTTTTTGGTGTGGTGAGCAGGCCGGAACATCCTGTCGGTCACACGCTGTGTTTGGCTGAACTCTCTGAACAGGCTCAGGAACGGAGCCACGGAGGAGGGCGATCCCAGCTCGCTTCCTCCTCTCTGGAACGGTGTTAGGCCAACCGCTTCCTTCTCCTCACCGCCGGTGTGGAGGTGGGGGGTGGTTGGTCCGTGCGAGGGCCTTCAGGCTTTTTCTGCCAGTTAGCTTTGGGGGCAGATGTTTTCTGCGCACCTTGCGGTGCTGCTTGGGTCTTCGGCAGTTTTGGGATCCTGAAGGCAGGAGGGAAGCGGGCTGCTGCCTGGGCGAAGGTTTGGCGCTGGGGTGCGGGGGTCGCAGACGCAGCGGCAAACGTACGTCTGGGAAGGCACAGCTTTAGGGCTTCATCATCCCTCTTCTTCTCCTCCCATCTCTTTTGCATGGAGGTTACTGCTTCCCCAAACAGCCCTTGAGCTGATATGGGTGTGTCCAGGAGGTCCTCCTTCTCCTTAGTTGCCAGGGTAGTGAGATTCAGCCACCTGGCTCTCTCCTGCAAAACCATTAGTCCCATAGATCTGCCCATCGCTTGGATCGCCACCTTATGGAGGTGCAGGCAATGGTCGGTAATGACGCACACCTCCTCCCAGAGCGCAGCATCTGGTGCGGAAGTCATTTGCTCTTCCAGCTCTGCTTGATAGGCCATCAGCATAGAGGAGGCATTTAGAGCGCGGACTGAGAGCGCGGCTGCTCTGTAGCACTTATCAGTCAGGCTTGACTGAAAGCGGTCCGCTCTCGATGGAAGGGCGGGACCTCCCGCTGACATGGAAGTCTTCGGGTGCAGGTGTGTTGCAACGGCCGGCTCGACAGGTGGCATTTGGCGAAGGCCGTAATTTTCCATCCCATCACAATCCAGTACCGAACTGCCGGCTACTGGGTGCTTCTCCTTAAACGGCTTGTTGCGCCAGGAGACGGCCAATTCTTCCAGCAGCTCCGGGAAAATTGGTAGGAGCTGTCTGGACGTCTTGCGGGTCTTAGGCAGCCTTTTTCCGTCAAAGCGGGAGCGGGCAGCTTCTGCCTGGACCTCTGGCCACTGAATCTCGAGCTTTGCAGCAGCGCGTTTACACACGTCGTGCAAGTCAAAATCCAGCTCCGACGGGGAACCTTCCTGACCGGATTGCTCCGAGCCCGGGGGTGCGGGTTTTGCAATCCGTACCGAGGGCGCCGGGGCCGGGTCATAGTCCTCATCGTTGTCTGAGAAGGGTAGCTCCGACTCCAAGTCAGAGAGCTCCTCGTCCCCCTCAAACAGCAAATCGAGCTGGCTCGAAGCGATACCTAGCTCGGGCATTTCCCGTGGCAATGGGTCCACGGAATCGAGGATTTCTCCCCAGCTCGGTCCGGCCTCTGCATCGGTGGGTAAAGAGACAGCCTGGTCGGCTGGTTCTTGTGTCGGTGCCGTGGAGGCCATCACCGGGTCATTACCGGACATAGTCGATTGACGAGCCAGGCGGCGGCGAAGCACCTTCAGGGAGAACCGGCTACAGTGTGAGCACTCCTCCGTAGATTGGAGGGCTGCCTGGGTGTGTTTCAGACCGAGACATACCACACAGGATGGGTGGGTGTCCCAGCTTGAAATTTTATTGCCACACGGACAGGGCCGTCCCTTGGGGCTCCCCTCCGCTTTCGCAGAGGATTTAGCAGTCTCCATTATTTTATTTTTATTTTGGAGATTGGCTTTGGGGCTACACGGGAATTAGCTTGTGAAAGCTAAGCTAACCAGGTGTGGCTAGGTTGGGGACGGCGTTTCGGCCACCCGGGGTGTAGCTACGGAGTATTGCTACTCAGTGTCGACCAACGTACAGCCGTGAGGCGGTGCGTTGACTCGAGTATTACTACTCGTTTTATGGTATTTCTACCAGGAAAACGTCTCCGCTTGATACCGAACCAGTTCGGAGCAAAGCGCCCAGCGACCGAGCTTGCGCGCGAGTCTTTGGACTGTTAAGCTAGGCTCCAAGAGAGACGGTATCCAAGAGGAGGCTAATTGGGAACTTCTGCTCGTTGCGAGAAGAGGTTTTTGAATAACAAGCAGCACAGTGTCAGCCCTATTTATAGGGGGAGGGACCTTGCCCTCTCTGACACTGACAGGCTTATTTTCCAGCCAATCCTGGCTGGTGTAATGTAAAAGGAGCTTCTGATGAGGTCACGCTGGAGGCGTTCCCAATGTGAGACACGAAACGAATGCTATGAAAGAGAACTTAGGTGTGCAGGCTGACGTATAACTAACTGGCCTGCATAAAATAACCATGAAAAAACCCCACATATTTTAAAGACAGAGTACATTTATATACACGTAGAAGCCAGAATGATTTGACATTTAAATATAACTTTCCTACGACTTTAAACACTAACAAAAACTTTGTGTTTCAAAATGAGTAAATAGTTAATCACATGATTAGAGCTGAAGTCTGTAAGTTTTTAAAAATCACTTTTTTGTCATATTGGCTAAAACTGTCCCTATGCCCAGACAGCAGTACATGTGATATGTAAACTGTGAAAAAAACTGCTTCAATTGGTCCCACATACTGCCTGTATTTCAATCTGGAAAGAATAATTCGGGACGAGTCAAAACAACCAATCACAGCCAGAGGAGCGTCTGATGGAGTGTCAATCACAGCTCACACACGCTGAATCCCGCCCCCTCCCTCTCACCGCTGAACCTGCCGCTGCCGCAGTCAGAAGGACGCGCGTGGAAGTCATGGCGGAGCGACAGCCACCAGCGAAAGAGAAACTGCCCTTACTGCCCCTGCCGACAACTGCTTACACGGCAAACTTCGGTATAACCAGCATCTTATATCTAGCTGCTTGGAGGTGAGTGTTATCGCTCTTACCGGTTCACACTCCATGCCGCGTACGCTGCTTGGACGCTTCTGGTCGCATGCGGTAGCCGCGCGGATGCTGTGAGAGGGGTGGAGCTTGGAGGTGGGGCATGAGTGAAGCAGAGAGGGTGGGGGAGTGGCGTGGAACATGTTTTTCTTCAAATTTTCAGTCGAAGTCTGCTCTCTTCTCAATGTAACAGACTGCAGCTTTAAGGGGAAAAAGTAAATCCAGTTGCGTGTTCTTTTTACCGCCACCCGCTGGACTGATGGTGTACTGCAGGTTTTTATCTGACAGAGTAAAATGCATTTCCTGGGGTCTTTGAGAATAAAAAGAAACAGCAGGCTGATGAATTCTCTGGGATTCTTATTACCCCAGAAAAAAAATCCCGAGGGTTTAAATCCCGAGGTGTTTGGAACCAACTAAACCAAAACTTGTCCGCCCTCCAATGAGCCCCTCTATCTCTGAAAAATCCCATACGGACTGGATTCTGGGGAAAAAAAACTTTCTCCGCAAACGTGAGTCCCGTTTATCTCTGTTTTTGCAAGACGTCGTTCAAAATTCCCACGGACCCTGAACTAACCTCTTTGAACTTCCCTTCTGGAAAAGGGTCTCATGTTGGATAATGTGAGAGTAAAGAAGAAGGGGAGGAGAAGTTTGAGTTTTGTTTTCAGGACATGGCTCTCAGTGGGGCCATGTGTTCAATGAACACTCAGAGGGAGTGTTTCCTCAATGAAAAGAGGAAGAACCAGAGCAGATGTGCCGGTTTGCAAGCAAAACCGGAACTATGTGTTGATCACAGTCAACCCGAGGATTCACAACCAAACCACATCAAACGGAGACAGTTTAAAGAATGCTGCTGCTCCGACTTCACAGGCTGCTGAAGCATGAGGCACGAGCGTGGCAAATAGGAAGTTCCTGCACATTACACATGGCACAGGAAGACCACATTCACAGACCCACCTGCATTTTTAAAGGCCACCCTCATCTCCGGAGTGCTCATCGTTCCAGAGTTATCTGTGTCGTTCTGCTTATAGATTGACTGCAGGAGCAGAAAAAAAAACACACACTCAGATATACTCAAATCCCCAAACACAGGAGTACATCTGGCTTCACAGGTCAAAGGTCAAAGCTCACCAGGTATCTCTGCACCTTCTTCCACAGAGTGGCGAATTCTCCAAGGCCCAGCTTTCCGTTCCCGCTGTCCTGCTGCAGGTTAAAGATCACTTAAAGGTGTCTGCACAGGTTGAACACTGACTGACAGTAAATTCTAATTAAACAGCAATCATCCATGTCTGCTAAAAGATACATCCATCAGGTTGACCATGATCCTGCAGGTCTCAAGGCTGAATCCATCCGTTTTGATGTCAGTTCCTGTCAAAAAACAACAACACAGGAAGTCATCTCTGCAGCCGCTCCTCTTTAACAAGTTTAACTTATCAAAGCTTTAGCTCACGTTTGCCGACAATCTTGTTCATGATGGTCCTCAGTTCGCATGCAGAGATCTCCTTGTCCTGAAACAGAAGGCAGTCAGTCAGCAGGGGATAAACACCCTTCCTGTCTCCCCTAAACACCTGCCATGCCGGTAACTCTCCAAGGCAGCTCAGAGACTTCCTGATTAGCTTGTTTCCAAAGACTGCAAGGTGGGGGAGCTTTAAATGAATCAATGAAGCAGTGGAAATTTAAACAAATACATCTGTCCTCAGTTTGTCAGCAGGGATTGGAGATTGGATGTGTATCAGAATCCGCAGTCCAGTGGAGCTTCCTCTGCTGCAGAACAGCTGCAGGAAGAGGACTCTGATTCCTCCAACAGTCATACTGCAAATATTTGGTTCTTACCAAAGTAAAAAAACGTAGATTTTGGAGGTGTTTGATCATTTATATTGTCTTAGGACATAATTTCTAATTTTACATGTTGACTATGCTTATGGTTAGATTTTAGAATCCTAAATTAAGAAACCTCGTTAGGTAAAATGGACTGAAAATTAACATATTCTGTTTTTTTTCCTTGTTTTTACACTCCCCTTTTTTCCAGTGCACCAGGAAATGCCTTAACCACCATCGATACAAAAAAAGCTTCAGAACCAGGACAAGCAGAGTCTAACTTGTATATTAGCACTTCACCGTTTGGTTTTAGTTAAACAAAGAAATGACAACAAACTGGTTCCATTAAAAGGAATGAACATGACCACAGTGCATAATGAGACAGCTGCTTGGCTGAGGTGAATCACTGTCAAACTTACATCTCCTGCAAGTTTGGAGAACAAGTTTCTGAACCCTGCATCTACTTCCTCGTCCGACACCGTCTCCTGGACATGATCACCGCAAAAAAGGCAAAGCACAGCAGTTAACCAACTAGCAGCTGTTACCTGCTAATTAGCGGCAATAACAAAAGATGTGGGCGGGGCATCACTTACGTCCGTGAGCTCTGCACTGACCGGGTCGTCACACGGCCTGAAAACAGAACAAACATTTAGAAATTGGTTCTTTTATTCTGGAGTCAGATGAAATCTGAAACAGGAAAGAGGACGGAGGAGGTTCTGGTCCTCCTGCCCTACAAACCCAACAGAACCGGTGGCTTTTGGCTCTTACACTGTCTCTGTCTGCTTCTCGGAGAAAACTCGGATGCAGAAATCTCCATTTTGATGTGGCTCAAAGGTGGATGGGACGATCAGGTATTCTCCAGGCGGCAGCTTGAAGCGGGAGGTCACCTCCCGCAGGTTGATGAAGGTCTCTGACCTGGCCGTCTGAGCGTGGGTCAAGAAGAAGTTTTTATCCAGGTGGACCTGCGTCTGTCCGCGGAACTGCAGAGAAACAGCCCGTCAAGATACTGTACCTGTTTAGGGGGGCAGATGCTGTGGCTAATATGCAGCAATCATAGAGATGTAAAGAATTAACAGACGTTTCTATAATCTGCTTTCTGATTCCAAGAAGATTAAGAGTGACAAAGTGTTTATATCAGGCCAAGCTTACTCAGAAAAATCCAGTGACTCATTCAAAGAAATGCTTTGCTGAGGTTTAAATAGCCAATGGAGCAAACCTCATATATTCTAAGAAGCCACCCCTCCCTACTGCTCCCAAGCTTCAGACTAAACACCCAAAGATTCCAGAGGATCGAAATGAAACGCATTTCAAGAGGATAAACCAGCCTGCTCTGTGTTGAGGCACAGATTGAACTTGATCAAAAAGAAACCCTGAAAGCAGGAAACGCTGGTTTTTAAAAAACTTAAATTTTGTCTTTGCTTCCATACGTCTAGAATTTTCTGTTAAATAATAGTAAATTGGGTTTTCCTTAACATTATTTTTTTATGAGTGTTAAAACGTTTGTAGTAAAACAGGTTGGTCAGGGTGGTGGAGTTCTCCAAGTTGTAAATTGGTAACATTTTTCAGCTATTTATTGGAGTATGGGGGCACTTTTGTTCCAGTATTGGTGCAATGAAAAAAAAAAAAAAACAGATTTTTAACAGATTGGATATTTTCAAATTATATATATATTATGTTTTTAGGGATTGTACATTTACCTGTTCTGTTTTTTTCTCCCAAAATTCTGTTTTTCAGATTGCATTTTACCAGTTCCATTCTTTTCAAACTGGTCTTCAAAAGCACATTTCTATTGGTCTGCATGGAATTAGTAAAAAATATTGTGTTGGTCAGTGTGGGTGACAAGCGTTTGTGTCATGCTTGAAGCAAAGAGAATGGGACCTGTAATGTCCAGTTTAAAACTTCGCAAAACTCAATCTGAAAAACAGACATTTGAAAAAAAAAAAAGTAAAATCTGTAAAAAAAAATAAGATTTTTAACACAATATGAAAATACAAAACAAAGTTACTCACAAAACATTTTTTTTTTGATAAATTTGTTTTTCTGGATTATATGTTTTTCAAACTGTCATTTTACAAAACGTTTTATTTGCCTGCAACAAAAATGGAACAAAATTCACTCCATACTGTTGGGACTTTCTAAGGAAGTTAACTTTCGCAGATTAAAGTCTGAATTAGATCTATCTCTGATCCAACATGGACTTAATCTCACTGATGAAGGATTGAAATTGTACATTCTGTGTGGAGTTTAAAGGTTACTGCATCAATGCACATTCTCCATGTTTCTATCTGATGAGGCGAAGGATTCAAGCTGGACTCACCTGCGGTGGAACCTGAAGGAAAACAGAACGAAGCAGAGTTCAAACATTGGTTTCCTGTTCGAATTGGATGCTGAAAACAGAGGGAATCTTTCTAACCTCATAGATGGCAAAGCCAATAGTGTGCATGTCTTCGCCGTGTTTCCGCAGCTTCCTGCGGTTCTTCTGGATCAGACCTACCACAAAGCTGCAGCCCACCTCATTATCATCAGGATCATCATCTTCCTCGTCCAGCTTGATCACAAACTGAGGGTTCATCCAGAACGTGTCTGAAGAAAAAAAAAAACAATGTCCTGTCATATGAGGATAATCCCCTTAAGCTCAGTGGTTCCACTCTGGCTGAACAGAACCAGCTGCTCTTTGAGGAGAAAGCTGCCCAATCATTGGTTAAACCAGCCAACGAACGGCGGCCTGGTGCAGCTCAGTATACAGAAAAAACAGTCGGGATCCAGAAAACAGTTTTTTTTCTCATTGATGTGAAAATTTGACTTATGTAGAAGATATTCGGCAAAAATAAACAGGTTTTTGATTACAAATGCTAATTTCTGACAATTGGCCCCTAATTTGCATCTCCTTCCTTCAGCTTTTAGAGATTCATTGAAGGCCTGTCTGTTTGATTTATGACGCATGTCCAGTCAATAATGAAAATTAATCATCTAAATAATTATTGCTCATTTACAGGTTATACATTAACTTCTGTCATGTGGCTTGTTGAGTTGCCTTTTTTATTACTGTAAAGATGACCTAATAAATAAAATAATGAAATAAGAAATCATAGGTTTCTAAGATCTGTGTTTCCCTTCAATAATATTTATATCAGGATAAAAGAAACAGTTACAGGCCCCATTTGCTTCACAGATGCATGTCTCATGCCGTCACCGATGCTAGGCAACCAAAATTATGCAGTCATAATTCTGCCAAAATGACACACCCATATTAAATACTGATATGAGCAGTTTTAATTAAAAGGTTTTAAACGTTATATGTGTGGCGCTATTGGCGACTTTCTAGGAAATCCCGCCTCTATTGTCTTCTTCCTAGTAATGGCTAGTAACGTTAGCAGAGCATTCCAAGGCTAATCGCTGTTCTCTTCTAGAGATGAATTCTGGCCGTATGACAAGCAGCTATCTCCGCCTTTCCTCAATTTAAACAGGGAAGCTAACGTTATCTTAGCTCATACATTTCAAGTTTAACTTTAGTTGTTTTAGAGCAGGCATCCCCAAAGTTGTGCTAAGGCGCCGGAGGCCTAGGTCTAATTGCTTATGAATCATAAGTGGAAGCAAATCATCAAACCAACAACGTCGTCTCGTTACCTAAGAGTTAAACACAGGATTATTTACAGAATTCCACATAGGCTGCCATGACTTATACTGATAAATCCTCTCCCACTGTTGTGGTTGAAGGATGTAATCAGTTTTAACACATGCCAATCATCTCGTTATCACAAGAAAACAGCTTTCATTGTCTTAAAATAATGAGAAAATTAACTTGCTTTCTCGAGAAAACCTACAGTGAAAAGCATCAAAGGTACGCGACCACTCTCGGCTTCTGTATGAGGACAGCTGATGAAGGCTAGGCTAGCATTTGTTGTTTTTGTGTTCATTAAAGGACTCTGGTCCATATAGACCAGGTCTTTTGAAGGACGCAGCCCTGGATTTGGGACAGGCCGTCAGTACCTTGGTTGATCTACCATCGGTAGATCAACCAAGACTATCGTAGCCTACTGGTTACATTATAGTTAATACTTGGTCAGAACCAGTGATGGGACTAACGGCGTTGAAACTAACGGCTTTACTAACGCCGTTACCTTGTTTTAGTAACGAGTAATCTAACTAATTACTTTGACTGTAACTATAACGCAGTTACCATTGCAGGCACCCCGTTACTGCGCGTTACTCAGGTCGCACAATGAACCTTTTTTCATGATAGGTCTCATGCGCAGCTGCGTGAAGCTGACACCCCACCCACGTCAAAAAACTCTGCAAATAGACTGAATGGTTAGTGCAACGTTAGTGCAGATTTGTGCAGAAAAAAATATTGTTTGTGCTACTTTTGTTTAAGAGATATTAAAGATTATTTTTTTAGGTCATCCAGAGGTGCGCGCCTTGTCATGAGAGAGGGGAGGATGAGATTCCGTCTGTCAGTTGGGTAGGTGGGTGTTTCTGCTGGCGGGTGTTAACGTACAGCACACACAGAGAGATGGAGAGTGAGGATGACTCCAGCAGCAAAACAGCGTTTTCCACATGGAAATACCGGTGTTACGTAGAGCTGCGTTTCCCCATCACATAACGGTTTCCTCTGCATCTCCACACAGCGCAGGCGGCAAGAGTCACCGCGCAAGCGACAGGAAACGCGCATGCTCGCTAAAGGCGCGCAACAGTCGCTCTGTGCTCGCGCCACAGGAGAACTATGGAGAGCGTGAACGATCAAATGAACCTGACAACAGCCAGAAATGATAGCCTATATGGAGAAAGGGAGAAATCTGGATGGATGGATGGATGGATGGATGGATGGATGGATGGATGGATGGATGGATGGATGGATGGATGGATGGATGGATGGATGGATGGATGGATGGATGCTCTGCCTTCTCAACCTACTGTATTTTTTATTTTAAACATTATTTGATGGCCTTTGTGGCAGGGATGGAGATCCATATTTTATGTCACACACAGAGTATACATCCAGATAGATAGATGGATAGATAGATGTTGCAGTATCTATAACAACCCAAACACACAGGATTTCAGAATTAGACATCCCCAGTTATTAATTTCATATACTCACCGGATCTGAGTGTCCTGTTATAAAACTTCACACCGTGTTCCCCCTGATGTCATTTACGTTGAGTTGCAATAAATGCTAAACTGTCTGCAGGTTCTTGTCTTTGTCGTCCGCTCTATTCAGCTGGCTTTGGAAACACACGGCGAGAAGGTGGGGGCCGGGTGGTGAGGGTTACGGGGGCGAGAAACGCAAAAGTAACGCAATAGTTACTTTTACTAGTAACTAGTTACTTTTATTGTGGAGTAACTCAGTTAGTAACTCAGTTACTTTTTGGGAGAAGTAACTAGTAACTATAACTAATTACTTTTTCAAAGTAACGTGCCCAACACTGGTCAGAACCATCAGTACATCGGTCTGATACTCACAAGGATGATTCCTGCAGCCTCCGGCTGTGGAACCTCTCCTCCAGTTGCCGTCAAACTTGCTAACACTCCAGTGTTTGACAGAGTCGTCTCCAATAGTGTCGGGGGTCAGAGTGCACACCTCTATGCGGGAGTAGTGCCGCAGGAAGTCAGTGAACGCCATCCTGCAGAGAACGGAACAGAGACAAATTCTCTCACTCTGTCCTAATATCAGTTCACGTGTGTTCCTGTGAGCTTCTGTCTGTCCTACCAGAACTCCCCATCCTCTGCATTGGCGTGAGGACAGTCGCCCTGAACGTAGTTCCACTCAGAGGACCTGTATGAAGAGCAGACACCAAGTGGTTGGTTGATGGTCAGTCTGTTTTGATGCGGAACATCTCCGCGGAAAGACTACAACTTAGCCAGTTACAGTAAACCAGTTAGAGCAGTTAGTTCCTGTCCATATCAAACCTCCTAATTGGTTTCAGACTGTGTGAACTCAACATGAGAAGCATTAAACAGGGCCTCAGCTAGTTTCCCTACAGCTGAAGGGGAGCTGCAGAGCACAGAACCTGTTTACTCACCCATCGCTCCAGGGTCCGGTCCACTCTACCTGACCCCAGGGATTCCTCATTCTCACTAGCTTCTCCTGATGCCCACGGTAGTTCACCTGCATCCAGAACCCAAAACCATGTATTCTCCTGCTTCTGTTAAACAGAACCTAATTTCTAGCTGCTCTCCTTACCTCCACAGCACCCGTCAGTGAGTAGGCGTGGCCTTTCACCAGCTTCTGACGAGTAACAGCCTCGGAGTCTGCAGCACTGGTGATCTGCAGCAATAGAACCATTATTTAAGCGTTCTGTGTTCTCATGACAATTCAGCTGCACGAGATTAGCTTTGGGGGAGATCATGGATGGTTTTCAGTCTGAATGTTGCAGAACTCACGTCGATGGAGCAGCCCAGCAGAGCTCCAGCCTCAAGCGCCTTCTTGATAATCTGGAACAGGTTAGGCGGTGGCTGGTTGAGGTCATAGTTCTCTGCAATGCCCCCAGTGAAATCCTCGAAGCCCTCAGTGGTGGAACCACCAGACAGTGCTTCATAGCAGCCATTCATCCTGAATACAGAACATTCACCTCTTAATTTCCACCTCATTGTGGGAAATTCTCGCCTATTTTACATACCCAAAAGGAAAAGCAAATAACTGAGGAACTGTAAGCCAAAATTTGAAAGCAAACACCTTCTAGTCTCTGAATATATACATGAAAATTGGGTAAGTAGAACATCCAAGCTGCATCAGTTCAGACAAGACTCAAAGTTTGGTTTTTTATTCTTGAAAATAATAGGTCTTTTTAGAACAGCACTTATAAAAACATGCTTGCTTGTTGTGGCCGCTTTGTCCTGGTACATTTTGACAAGATGCTATATCTGTGTTAATTGTGCCTTGGTGCTCACTGTGTCCATTCAATGAGGTGGTTGAATTGTGGAGAAGCTAAGCTTTCATAAGATGTCTAACATGTCTATATTGGTAAACATTTTACCAGTGTAATTTTCATGCATTCTGAGTAATTATTTGTAAATGCTTTTAAAAGGCTGGTTTTAAGAGGTTAAAGTCAATAGTGATTGGGTTGATAGCTTCAGGCTGCAGGCAGATCCCTGCAGCTACTGTTTTAAAGCTATTAGTCATGTCATTTACAGGATGTGTCACCATGGTAACCTTTGTTTGGTATACAATGATCACTGGAGGGAATAGTTTTAGTTTTCTTTGTTGTGTACACATAACAAATGTAAAATATGGATACTGGGTATTCATTTAGGCTCAGTTTCTTGATTGCACCATGTCTCTATGCAGATGATACAGTTTTTTTTTTTTCAACAGTTATTAATGAATGCACATACATTTTTAACAGCTGTTCCACTAGTCTGAGCAAACAGTTGTTCACCTGAAAACTCAAAACAGCAAACAGATTCTAACTGCAGCTTTTCAGACAGCAGTTCAAACCACAACCGAGCTGAGCAGAGAGCAGGAAGGACAGCTCTTTCAGGTTTCTGTGTGATCAGTCTCAGGAAACAGACTCAGTTTAAGCTCTGCAAGGTCTTACTTAGCGTAAGCTTTCTCCAGCAAGGCGCTCCAGAACTCCCGGCCTTCTGCCGAGTGCACGAACATCAGCTCTCCGTCTTTAACTGGCAGCCGATCGTCAATCACCACGTCCACCCACTCACCAAATTGCCAGAACTGCAAGCAAACAGGAAGACAATCTTAGACAAAACACACTTTCTGTGACAGCAGTAGTAAGACTGGACCCTATTGGCATAGCTGATACCTGAAAGTGGAAGATTCCTGCATAATCATCTCCAAATCCTTGGTCTGATGGAACGACTCGTGCCATCACATACTCGTTCATCGTCAGCGAGGCAATGGCTGCTAATAGCCAGCAGTCACCTAGAAGACAGAGTGTACACAACGCTGCCGCTGTCAAGATGCAATTAATAACATAATGTCTCATATAGAGGAATCTGGTAGCAGATAAGCCCAAATTTCTCTCAATAAGACAAATCTCAGTACTGCCCCCTACAGGATGTCACTATCCGATCTGTACCATTAGCTCCTTTGCACATCTGCAACCCGATATTCATCTAGGTGACTATGAATAATGTAATTACAGTACTGGAAATATTGATTTCTAACATTAAATTATGCTTAATTACATCAAATAAAAAATCATTAATTCCTTTTCTTAGGACTGGATGCACTTTAAATTCTCTCCATTATATTCCTTGTCTGACATCATCATTAGACATGCTCAGAAAATATGATTACACCATGTTTATCTGTATTTCAGTTGTGTCTTTCTGTAGATCATACACTGTGTACCATAAAAGTACAAAATGCAAACATAAAACTCCAAATTACGACAATTATTTATAAATAGAAAGCTAAAAAAATGGGCTTCCAGGAGTAAGGAAGAATCCCATTTCTGGGACGGATCAAAAAATAAACCAATCAGGTTTTACAGGTTGTATTTTAACACACTTATTATAATAAGGGAGAGAAATAAGAGTAATTTTCTTCACATAAAGCACAATACAGGGTGACCCACATGTAATTCTGGTTGCTCAAATGAGGTGATGGTACGGATCTAGTAGAGACACTGGACACGATCATTAACGCACATCGTCCTATGATGCACTCGTTAACACATATCTCACTGCTGCCCCCTACAGGGGACACTGGCTACAACAGAAAGTCCCTCTCTTGTCTCTTCCTTTTCATAACGATCAATTGAAACAACAGAACAATTCACAGAGAGAATTGTTCATGTTTAATACAGACTTTAAGCTGTGGGTTTCTACTCAGGAGAGTCTAGATGTTAAGCTTTCCCCCCACATTTGCATAAAGTGCTGCAGGGGGAAGAAAGCTTCTGCTGGGACTGGTCCTAAGGCAACTGGTTTCGGGTTCTTACTGGGTTTTCCCAGCTCATCACATGTCTGTAATGGGCCCTAAAGCATCCAATCTGGATGGGTCTCTCTGTTCTTCATGTGGGCTGGTTATTCTCTGTGTTTGTTCTTTTTTAAGCTGGGTTCTTCTCTGCATCAGACCCGCCCCGTTAGTAATGCCGTGTTTAAAATCTCCAGTATTTTGTGAAGATCCTAGTTGACGAGGACGGATTAGCACCAGATCTGAAGTTTTAGGGTTAAACTGAAGACTTTATGTTGAGCTCCTTCACTAAAAACCATTAACATCAGTTTAACTTTATGGGCAGGAAGAATCCAGGCGAACGGAGCTGGAGGCATTTTTGATGATGAATCATCTCAGAGCTTCTCCCAAACTGCTGTATCACTACTGACCAATCAGAGCAGAAGAAGCTCCTTAAAGAGACAGGCTCAAACCGGACAGGGTCTGAGAGCTTCATGTAGCTGGGAATTAGAACTGGGAGTGCTGGGAGTCAGGCTGGGAACATAATTATCAGATTTCCAACAGTCTACATCTTTGTTTTGTTCCAGCTTCCCTCAGACTAACGAGCTGTACCTAATTAAACCGTTGGCCACAGCAATCCACAAAGACGTGGTTTTGGGGAGGTCCCACTCTGCAGTAAATTCCTTGTTTTGTAGCATGTGGTAACAGATCGTCTCGTCGTAGTTACACAACCAGGAACACTGTTGTGGTTTCTATCAGTGCCGGGATGACTCACAGTCCAGTGACAGGGTGCGTACTCATTGGCTGTCTGCACTAGCTTTCATGGTGCCTCTGAGAACTAAAATAATCATTCCTGTGCTGCTCCTCCCTGCCAACCAATGAGAGCACAGCCTGCAGCTGAGTCTGGATCAGAAGCTCAACAATTTTACTACGCTGACACCTGAGCTGCTGCAGGAACCTCACTGTAGAACGTCACATCCTGAGGGGGGACGGATCCAGGAGCATAGAGACAGAACTATCAGCATCCGCAGGCTGCCTCATGGGTCTCCCTGCCCAAGTCTGATCAGACTGCTCATTAAAACCAGCACATCTGTTCCACTAAAACCTGCATCACATCAGATGTCCCCTGTGGAGCATCTGCTGGTCCGTCTCATGGCTCTCCTGGTGCTTCCTGCAGTGTGTCTGGTTCTGTGAGCCCTTTTCAGTCCAGGATATCCCAATCTGTCTCCATCAGTGAATCATGGACCGGTTCTGCTGGGACCCAGAGTTTCTGATCTCTGTGCTGCATTCAGGGACAGCATGTAAAACTTACCCAGAGCTCCCTGACAGATGTCAGTCCTGGTGGCGCCACCCATGATGAACTCCGGGTTTGAGACCAGCTCCTGAGGGGAGAACAGGACTGAATGAGACAATTCAATTCAATTTAGTTTAGTTTATTTATATAGCGCCAATTCACAACACATGTCATCTCAAGGCACTTTACAGTTCAACCAGATCATCCAGTCAAATCGATTCAGTTTTCTATCCAAGGAAAACCAGTTGATTGCATCGACTCATTGACTCCATCACACTAAGCATGCTTGTAGCGACAGTGGAGAGGAAAAACTCCCTTTTAACAGGAAGAAACCTCCAGCAGAACCAGGCTCAGTGTGAGCGGCCATCTGCCGAAGCCGACTGGGGTTCAAGGAGACAGAAGCAGAGACACAAAAAGCAGCTGTAAAAGGCGGCCCCCGTCCGGGAAACACACAGTCAGGCAGACAAGCACCGAGCCAGCTCCCATGCCAGAGGACGAAGAGAGCACATCCAGCCAGTCACCGTCAGAGAAACAGGACTACACTGGATCAAAGCAGTCAATTGGACACAGAGAGACACCTGCAGGTGGTGCCTCTGCAGCAGAACCAGAACTTCTGCAGGTTTTTTTCTGTTTCTATCTTTTCAAAGAGATTTAAACCCCTGAAATATTTGAGCGCCTCACAAAGTCTCACCTAAAAAGTTCTGGATCAGAAACCCCAACAGCTTCAGATGGTTCATTTGTTTTCACTGAGTGTCTCACTGACCCAGAGTTCTGGGTTTGACCCGGCTCATCCCCAGCTGACAGGGTTCTGGCCTGCATGGCCCAGATGTTCTGCATCTGTCTGACTTCCTGTTTAAACTCTGTCGGAGGTTCTGGTCCGTTTTATAGAAAACCCACTAAAATCTGGTGTTCCACCAGTTTTTTCCAGACAGAACTAAACCCGAACCCAAACCCAAACCCGAACCATTTGCAAATCACAGATTTGTTTTTTTTCCTGCAGGGCGGGGTCGGCCACACCCACCACCCTAAATCCCTCATCTGACCCGTTTCTGTCTCGGATCTTACCGTCGGTCTCTTCCAAATGACTCCGCGGGTCTTGAATGAGTTTCGACCCAATTCCTTAAAGCCAAGAGATTCTGGTTCGGCCGGGAAGGTGGGGTCGCAGAACAGCTGCCCGGAGGAGCGGCACTGAGCGCGCAGGGCCTCAAAGTTCTGATTCAGGTACGGAACCGCGTTGGAGTTGCTCCCGAACCCCGCGGCCAAGGCCCGCTGTTTGGCCAGAGTGGAGGCGACTCCGGACATGGTGGCGCAGAACGACTAGAAGTGAAGCAGCTGGAGGTGAACGGAGAAAAGTTTTACTGCTGGACTCAGTCAGACAGAGACCTTCCCCCGGAGAGGAGGAGCCTGTTGCTGCACTGCGAGCAGGAAGGCGCTTAGAAACAGAACCAGAACCAAAACAGTAACAAGTACAGATCAATACAGCACGAACCCAGAACCCAGAACCGAGCCTGCAGCTGGTTTCCTGTTAAACATGAGCCGGAAGGATTTAGACCTTCTGAATGTGATTAGATAATCCATCCATACATCATTCACCCACCATCCACCCATCACTCATCTGTCCATCCATCATTAATCCATCCATCCATACATACATCCATCCATCATCCATCCATCCATCACTCATCAATCCATCATCCACCATCCATCCATGATTCATCCATCCATCATTAATCCATCATCTATCCATCCATCATTAATCCATCATCTATCCATCCATCATTAATCCATCATCTATCCATCCATCATCCATCCATCCATCATTAATCCATCATCTATCCATCCATCATTAATCCATCATCTATCCATCCATCATTAATCCATCATCTATCCATCCATCATTAATCCATCATCTATCCATCCATCATTAATCCATCATCTATCCATCCATCATTAATCCATCATCTATCCATCCATCATCCATCCATCCATCATTAATCCATCATCTATCCATCCATCATTAATCCATCATCTATCCATCCATCATTAATCCATCATCTATCCATCCATCATTAATCCATCATCTATCCATCCATCATTAATCCATCATCTATCCATCCATCATTAATCCATCATCCATCCATCCATCACTCATCAATCCATCGTCCACCATCCATCCATGATTCATCCATCCATCATCAATCCATCCATCCACCGATCATCCATCATCCATCCAACCAACATCCACCCATCATCCATTCACCCATCCATCCATCATCCAGCCATCATTCATCCATCCTTCAATAATTCATCCATAGCGCACCCTCCTGGCCAGAGTTATGTTAGGTGGAGGACTGGTGTCCAATAGGCTCCATCACCAGGGGTGTCACTAGGAATTTCGGTCCCATGAAAGACGTTGATACTGGCCCCCCCACTAAAAAAAAATGTATGCAAGCTTTAAACTGCTATAAAGACGCACTCCAGAGTATCATTTATATTTTCATTGTAATTTTTATTGTAACATTTCTACAAAGGAAAATTATCATAATGTAAAAAAGTTCAATAAAAATTAACTTTACATTTGCATCCCCAAAACACAGCTGTATCTATGCACACATGAATAGAAAATAGGGTTTGGATTTTAAAAATATATTCCTATTAGGTTTCATTATATCTGTCATGGTCTTACTTGTCTTTACTTTGATCCGTTTGTTTTATTGGTTTATTTCCTACTTTGTGTTTCTAGATTTATTGCAGCTCTCAGGTTTTCTGTTGTTGTCCTCTGTTGCCCTCTTGTGTGTGTTCCTTTTCCCTTGGCTCCTTCGTTGTCTCTACTCACACCTGCTCCTTATCAGCTCGTTAGACCTGCCTTTGTCTCAGCTACTGTATTTATACTCTCCCTCTGCTGTCACTCCTTGTTGGTTCCTCTGTTCTCGCTGGTTCCCCATCGCTGTTGTTGGATGGATGGATGGATGGATGGATGGATGGATGGATGGATGGATGGATGGATGGATGGATGGATGGATGGATGGATGGATGGATGGATGGATGGATGGATGGATGGATGGATGAACTGCAGAAATCACCTCAGCCTTTGGGCGCTCTAAACCCCAACCAAACCCTGACAATATCTTTATTAAAGGAAAGTTTATTTTTGCTGGTCCTGTTGCCTGGTCTGGTTGGTAAATGTAAATGTTTATGCCTCTGAGCTTTCTGGTTTAGTTGTGTTATTTACAGACACACAATGGGCTCAATAAATGCTAGATTAATGTTGAAAACAAATAATATAAATAATAATAAAAACTTGCAATCATGATCTGTTTCAGACGGCATCCAGCTGGGTGGCATCATTAATGATGTGATTCCGCTCCAACCTTGAGAATGATTAACTAAGTTGTAGCCAGCAGATGGCTATCTTATTTACATAACAGGGTAATAATCTATCATTAATTTGAGGTAGAATACTTTGTGAGAACACAAAGATAATCTATTTCTCTTCTCTGGATTTTCTTTTTAAACTTATATAGCGGGACAAATCTTTTCTTATTCTGGGGCTCCCTTCATTCAAAGGCTTCAGTTAAGCTGTCCATTATGTTTTTTCTTCAAATATCCTTTTTTGAAACTTGTTCTTTGCAATCTTCTCTCCATAAATGAATCAAAGCAACAAAGGTTCAAACGTTCAGCTGCAGCAGAACCAAACTTTAATCAATCCCCCCCACAGTTTTTTTTTTTGTTTCAGTTGGAGGAAAGAGGAGGAACTCTTCCTTTTTCAGGTCAGAGGTGGAAGAAGATCCTCCTAATGATCCCCTTCAGAACTTCCACAAGGAAAAGATTCCTGACTGGAGACAGAGTCTCAGCATCGCACTGGACCCATTTTCCAGGATTGGATGAGGTGTTCTAACCTGGAGGAGCAGCAGGAAGTGTTTGACAGATAGGAGCCGCTTTCAGCATCTCTGTTTGCTTTATAGGCTGGCGGTGTTTACCCAGCCAACACACACGCACGCACACACGCACGCACGCACGCACGCACGCACACACACACACACACACACACACAGTGAGATCTTTGTTGGAGCTGAACGGGAAGTTATTTGCTGAGTGTGGAAACAGCAGTTACAGGGTTGGATTTAGGAGAACCGGGTTCTATCTGCCTCTCAGATTTAACAGCAAATACATCTTTATAAAGTGCTTTATTTAAAAACTTTAAAAACATAAGTGCTGTAGGAACATGGCAACATTTGTCTTAAGCTCCAAGTCTGCATCAGAACATTTTCAAACTTATGTTTCCAGTTTGCAGGAGAACGTTCCCTTTCTCATGTTCTTAGTCTTCAGGAGAATTGTCCCCGTTTGCATCTGATAGTTCCTCCTCTTATGTTCTTGTTCCTTAATAATTACGACTTTAGAACTTTGGATAAATGTGGAACTGCTTTGATTTTCTTAAACGTTTCAAACAGGGAAAATGTAAGGAGGATGTCTGGAAGCAGAACCTTTAAACATCCAGGAGCAGAACATGCACATTATTCAGAAGAAGCTGTGTTAAAATGATGGATCTTTAAATTAAAAAATCCACAAACATCAAACTCAAGAGTAATAAGATCCAAACTACTGCAGCCATCACTGAAAATGTTCTGTCTCCTTCATTCTTCAGTGTCATGAAATAGCAGGAACCTGCTAAGGCTGGTTGGAAGGAGGAACTAAGAGCTTGAAACATAAACATGATCCCAGAAATCCAGGAGAATACTAAACATGATACAGGTTTCAGATGTTAGAGAACTTATTTTCCAGGACCCCTTGTTTGATTTAAATGCTGGGTTTTATGTTTTTAACATGAGCTTTTTTTCATTGTTTTGAGGATGTTAGGTTAGAGTATTCCTGACTGTTATTTTCACTTCCCTCTGTCGTTTCAATAAGAACTTGGAGATCTTCCATGCTTCCTGTGTTCCTCCAGCAACGACCATGGTGCTGACAGCATGGACCACTGGCGCCCCCTGGTGGTAGATATCTGAACACCTGTCTGTAAGTGGAGGAAAATGATGAGTTCATGGAGGGGAAATAGAATGAAAATGGATTTAAATTGGAAATTAAACTATTTAAACTTGGATTGAAATTTGGATGAAATCTCTGAATGAAACAAAACTGGGATTGAAGCTGGATTTAAAATGGGATTGAGAACTGAAATAAACTGGGAATGTAACTGGCAAGAAAGCTGTAAGTAAACTGGGAATAACATATTACTTTATCTAGGAATAAAGCTAGAATTAAACTGCGAAAGTAATTGGGAAAGAAGCTAGAATTACATAGGGAATACAGCGGGATTTTAATTGGGAATGACGATGGAAATACTGGGAGTAGAGCTGTATTTACACTGGGAATGCAGCTGTATTTTAACCTATTTGAACTGGGAATGGAGCTCTTTACTGAGTATGGAGTTGGATTGAAACAGAGTAGGACTATATTTAAACTGGGAATGGAGTGGCATTTAAACTGGGAATAAAGTGGCATTTAAACTGGGAATTTATCTGGAGTAAAGATGGAAATTAATCCGAAATGAAACTGGGAATGGAACAGGATGACAGCTCGGCAATTAAATAAAACTGGGAATGAAGCTGGATTTAAACTGGGAATCAGAACTGAAATAAACTGGGAATGTAACTGGGAAGAAATCTAAGTAAACTGGGAATAAATTTATCTAGGAATAAAGCTAGTATTAAACTGGTAAAGTAGTGGGGGGAAAGCTAGAATTACACTGGGAATACAACTGGAATGATGATGGAAATACTGGGAGTAGAGCTGTATTTGCACTGGGAATGGAGCTGCATTTTAACTTATTTAAACTGGTAATGTTTAAATAATAACATACTGAGTATGGAGTTGGATTTAAACAGAGTGGGGGTATATTTAAACTGGGTATAAAGCTCTGTTTAAACTGGGAATGGATTTGCATTTAAACTTGGAATAAAGTGACATTTAAACTGGGAATTAATCTGGATTAAAGATGGAAATTAATCTGGAATTAAACTAGGAATAAAAATGGATTAAAACTGGGAATGAAACTGGAATTAAACTGCGAATGATGTGTGAATTACACTGGGAATGTAACTGGGAATAAGTTTCATTTAAACTGGGAATTAATGTGGATTAAAGATGGAAATTAATCTGGAATTAAACTGGGAATAATACTGAATTTAATCAGGGAATGAAGGTCGAATAAAACTGGGAATGAAGCTGGAATGAAGCTGGGAATGGCGGTTGAAATAAACTTTAAATGTAACTGGGAAAGAAGCTGGAATTACACTTTGAATAAAATGAATTTTAATTGGGAATGAAGGTGGAAACAATCTGGGAATGGATGTGTATTTATAATGGAAACAAAGCAGTGGGCGGAAACGTCCTTAAACTGGGAGTTCAGC